GCCGGCTGCTGTACCGCTGCGGAACCTGGACTGACGCCCTGGCTGGCCAACGAGTTGAAATACTGAGATTGCTCGACCGACAGCGTAGCCGACGGCTTGATGGGCGTCGTCTGCTGCTGCTGCTGGAGTTGCTGCTGCTGCTGTTGGGCCTGGTGCACCAGCGTGGCGGCTGCCGAGGCGGCGCTTGAGAATGTGTCGGGTGAGGCGGAAACAAAGGAGGACGGCGTGCTGCCCGCTCCTCCGCCGGCAGCTGCGCTCGCTCCCGTTCCCGCTCCCGACTGCGTGCCCTGCGACTGCAGCTGGGGCGGTGGATTGCTGACCGCTGCGCTGTACTGCAGCAGCGGCGTAGTCGCCGAGCCGGTCAGCGTTGCTGGCGGTGTGACCGGCACGGGTCCGCTGCTTGAGCTCTCTTCCAGCCCCTGCTGCACCAACTGGTGTTCGAGACCCGGCGGCGCCGATATCTCGCTGCCAGCCGACGTAGAGCCACCGGCACCACTTGCCGCGGTACCGCTCACCACGCTGGCAGCGGTTTGCGTTGCCAGGTTGCTGGTCGTGAATACCTTGCTGTCCTTGAGCGAGCCCTCGTACTCCTCGTTGTTCCAATCGCCCCAGGCATCGTCATGGGCCTGCTGCTGCTTCTCGGCGTTCTGGGCAATGGTGTTGTCCCACAGCTCCACCTCGTGGTGATCCTCGTTGGCGTTGCCACTGCGACCTGGTCCATAGCCACCGCCAGTGCCTCCGCTGCCGCGATCGCCGCGTGGACCGCCGGTGCGTCCGCCCATGCGACCGCCACCACGGCCGGAACGCGAGACGAAGCCACCGCCGCGTCCACCGCCTCCGGGTCCAGTGCGTCCACCGCCGCCGTTGCGCTGCCCGCGATAGTTGTCGTTGGCCCGATCGTCACCGCGGTCGCCGCCAGAGCGAGGTTCACGAGACTCGCGCTGGTTGCGTTCGTTCTCGCGTGTCTCTCTTCCGCGCCCTAGAATTTGGGAGAGATCAAGTCTTAAGTTAGTTATCGAAGGGGGAGGAAAGTTAAGCATTTACTAAAATAGTTTTATAATTAAACTCCCAGTTTTTAAGAAAATAATACTACCAATAACCAAAACTGTTTTTAGACTCTAGATTCTAGAGTATTACAGTATTACAATAAAAACTATAAATCTCGAATCCCTCACAGATTATGACGAAGATTTTTGATTATAAATGCTAGACAGCATTTTTATAATTATATTCCTAGTTTTAAAGAAAATAATCAGGGTCCGTAAATAACAGTTATTTGTGATTTTTATTTTAAAAGGCCTACTGAGATTTGTACAAGTTTTAATCAACAATTTAACTGGTTTTTATGCACTTAAGAAGAACAAATAACCTTTATTTGCTTCAGATTTGTTGAAATTCATATACTGGACAAGAGTAAAAGAACGTTATTTTGACGTTTAAAACCAAATATCACAGTAGTCTTTTAAAAAAAATCACAAAACGTATTCGGTCCGAAAATAATACTTCCAATAACAAAAACTGATTCTAGACTCTAGTTTCTAGAGTATTACAGTATTACAGATCTTAATAAAAATTACAAATCTCAAATCTTTCATAGAATATGACGAGAATTTTGGATTATAAATGATAGACAGCGACCAATAACAAAAACTGTTTCTACAGTATTACAGAATTACAGATCTTAATAAAAATTATAAATCTTCAATTTTTTATAGAATATGACGAAGATTTTGGATAATACATTTTAGACAGACATTTAGTAAATGAGCGGGAGTTTTTAAGAAAATAATACGACCAATAACAAAAACTGTTTCTGGACTCGAGATTCTAAAGTATTACAGTATTACAGAACTTAATAAATATTTTAAATCACAGAATATGACGAATATTTTGGATAATAAATTCTAAACAGCCATTTAGTAAATGAGCGGTAGTTAGGATTAGGACTAGAACTTACATCCACGACTGTCGGTGGAGCCGCGGGTGCCACCGCGATTTGAGCTGCGGTTCCGTGACTTCTCCCGCCTGTCCGCATTCGCATTGCCATCGGCCCAATCGCCATCGCCAGCGGCGCCATCGGCCGCGGTATTTGCAGCCTTGTTCTTGCGCTTCTTCTCGTACTTGGCAAAGGCGCCCTGCAACGGATTCAATTGAGTAACTGGGGAGGTAGGAAAATATGCAGTTGTTAAACTGACCTGCGGTAGCTCCTCGATCAAAAAGTTGGCCGCTGCCTCCAGGTCGTAATCGCACTCGTTGAGGGCACAGCAGACCTCCTCCTCGGAACGTTGGGTCATGGTCAACAGGAGGGTCACCTTCTCGTTGATCTGCGGATCCTCTGTGGTGCTATTGGTGATCTGGGCAATGCGCAACTGTTCGGTGGTGGCCTTGGGCTGGGCCTTCTCTGGCTTGTCTGTCTTGCCGGCATCCTGGCCGCCCTTCTTGCCAGCGGCCGCAGCATGTGAGACTCCGTCGTGCCCGGTTCCTCCTCCGCCGGAGTTGCTGGCATTTGACTTTTTCTGGTTGCGGGTGTGGCCGCCGCCTCCTCCGCCGCCTGAACGAGTTTGTGTGCTCATCTCTATGTACACTGTATATACAAATTAGCTGGAAGGCGCAAAAGAAGCAATACACGATATTAAAACCAGGGGATCTAAAATCTGACTGATATAATTATAGGTCTGTGCTGACTGATTTTGAAGTCAATTCTCTGGGATAGACGTATACTTCAACTAGAACTTTACTCTGCACACAAGACACTAGGATAAAATTCGAATCTTTTAGATAATCGTGATTACTTATCACTGATTAGTAGGTCAAAGGCCTTCAATTCATGGGTTAAGATTTTGGAAAACCCACAATTTTTAGAATGATGGATTCAGTGTAGAGAAATGGCAAAACCGAATACCAAATCCAGGTCATAGGCTCTCATATATAGAAATGTACTAAAATTCTGGTTATATCCAGTTCAGATGAATCAAACAAAAACCAAGACTGAAAACTACTCAGCGTTTCCAAGTTTATGCTTTCAAGAAGCCAATCCGAATTTACGGTTCATATAAATATTTTTAGAAATGGTAGCCAATGGAATGGAAACACGACTTTAAAAAGAGTGATAATATCTAAATAGTTTGGCTTGCCAATATTGGTGATAAAGTCCCACAATCCAGACAGATTTTATCTACGGATGTGTGGAATTGCAAAACAAGTGCCCGAAAGAGAGCCGCAAAAGAAAAGCCAGCGAGATGAGAGTTCAATGTACATTTAATAAAAGAGAATGAAAGAACGCGAACAAACACACACTCACACACCGAAACAAAGGTGCGAGAGAGGGACGGAAGAGCGTACGCACAAACAAAGCCAGCATTCAGAAATAACAAAAATTAATGAAAACGCGGTGTCGAGGGGGCGGAAAATGTATTGGCAAAACAGGTAACAGGGGTGGGCGAGAGGGGGCAGATGGCGGGGTACGTGACCGAGACGCATCCAAGCCGAAACGTCAGCCGCTTTTCCAAGGGGGGTGGTTCATGGTAAAGAGAGAGCGGGAGAGGCGACCCCGATACCAAGTGCATATCTGAATCACTAAATTTTTGTTGTCAAAACAGTTTTATCAACTTTTGCCGTGAATAACGCCTTTCCATGCATTATTCATACACACACACACACACGCGTGAGCTACTGCACACAATCAAAAGACCGCTGCCGCCTTCACTTTGCCATCAAGTTTCGCACGTCCGCCAAAATATGGAGATTTCGCCCACGGGAACCGGGAAATGGGAACTGCGATCCGGGACCCGGAAATTACTTAATGTCAATTGCAACGGGGATCGCGGGGACCGACATACACAAAAATTGATTTATAACTCCTTGGCCTCGCTTCGGTTTTTCGCTTTCGCTTTTGTGCTCGCTCTTCTGCATCTGCCCTATCGGCGTCTCCCTCGCACCCGCACCCGCACGGGCGAACAGTGTTGCCAGGTGCGAGGGCAGTGGACAAGGCTGGTAAACTAACCATCAATTGGAGCACATAAGTACTGTTAAATATTTTAGGATGTGGGTGCTGGAAGGGACAATCAATATTCAGTACAATATTCGCACAAAAACACCCATTCCCGGCAGAACTTGGCAGGGACACATCACTGGGCCCGGTCCGGCACTCGGCAACACTGAATGCGAGGGCATTGAAACCGAATGAAGCGCACAAAGCGGAATGCAAAACCGGATAAAGTGGCGTACACTGCGCCGAAAAACGAAATGTACGCCGCGCCGTTGGTAAATCACATTCATTTCTGGGCATTCCCGGGAGGATAATGCGTTTGCAATTGCTCTTTTGAGCAAAGAACGGGAAATATCGCTCTAATATTATCAAGTCAGCCCCAGCCATGTGCACATACTTCGACGCCATTTCTGCAACGCCACACTAGCCGACTCTTTCGCTCTTATGTAAACCAAGGGACCCAGTAATTGACGGCGACACCGCCGCTCCAGACAGCGGCAACTATTGAATTTTCAACCAAGTTTTGCGCTGTCAGGGCGCCGAGAGTCGGGTCGAAAATACATTACACAGGTGGGGGGACACTTAAACTACACTTTGACACCTAGGCAGGCTTTCGGTAACGGCTTTAAATCGGGTAAACAAATTTTCAAAACGGAGCCACACACAATACCTGCAAATGCGCCGAGAAACGCACTTTTAATGTGACCTTGCTGTGAAGTCAATCGATTGGCTATTTATCTACGCATGCAACCCTGGGCTCGCGTTGCTCCAGCCTAGCAGTGACTCAAACCGTTCTGATTGTTTTTTAAATTTGAATTTATTTCTGCCATTGCTCGACATTTATATTAATCGCAGCTATTATACAAAAATGTAGTTACACTACAAATTAAAAACTCTAAACAGATTTCGTTGAAAATTTCAGAAAAGGCTCCGTTGGTTCGGAGCTCCGGTTAATCAGGTTAGTATATCGAATAGGCAATGAAAAATCGAATAAATCTAGGACTATCGGCAACAAAACATAAACGTTTTTGTGTACAAAAGGAATTTATGGTTATTTGTATTAAAGGATGGTCTAGTTAAGCTCGCAACTATTTCGGAATGAGCAAGCAGAAGTACACCGATTTTTTGACCGAGGACGATCCCCTGTTGCCCGACAAGGAGTCCCTGGAAGATAAACTAGCGGTGTTGCAAAATAAACTGGATGAAATCCTGGAGAATCAAAATCAGATCCTGACACTTGTTTGCCAGGTGGCTCGCAATAGGACAACCGGTGATCAGTACAAGGTCGAGGTGGATTATTTTCCCGGTGACGGATCCTGAAGAGCTGCAGAATCTAGACGACAATCTCTCCGAGCCGGGCAATAAATATGTGAGTTGCAAACAAAATAGTTATGCTATTATGGTAGTCACCAGTTTACTAATTTTCAGGCAAACCTTATTCGCCGGATTTTAAGACCAGAAGGACGAATAGAACCGCTGAAGAAGAACTTTTCAAAGTTGTTCGAGTACAATGTTCTAATGGCATACAACTACGATGGTGTGAGCACCAAACAGTCCTTTAAGCAGTACAAACACCTAAATAAAACCATTTTTGGTAAGTAAGCTTCTGCAGTATGGTGATTACAATCTTATATTATTCAATTGTCATATTTTACCTAAGCTAAGCGATTTCTTAAGCCAAATACCCTTTTTATACAGTCTCTTAGCGTCTCACTTTTAAAGTCTCCGATTTGTACACTAAAAAGAATACCAAGTCGTTATACCAAGCCAATCTTTGGGTAAATTTGTATAGCAACTTTTCTCTTCCGCTTGTTAAATTTAAAAGGAAGGTTTAAACTCTGATTTCTCATACGATTTCAAAGTTGTAACCCTACTTTAAATTCAACAAACGGACGAGAAAATTACCCTAAGGCTGACAACTTTTAGGTGTTTTAAACAAAAAGTATTTCATAAATTTCTGAAGGAAATGCCAAAGCTGAAAAAATGATGTTACTACTAATAGGAAATAATAATCAAAATATTATCTGTTTTCGGATTATTTTGAAATTGATTTTTCGATTCTTCCTATGTCAGCCATATAATATTCGTCCGATTTTTGTTAAATTTAATTTAAAATTCTGAAATATTTAAAAATATATATCCCAGAGTTAAAGACAACAACAAATTGATTTTTCGATTCTTCCTATGTCAGCCATATAATAATCGTCTGATTTTTGTTCAATTTAATTTAAAATTCTGAAATATTTAAAAATATATACCCAGAGTAGACGACAACAACAAATGGATTTTTCGGATTCTTCCTATGGTTAGCCATATCATAATCGTCTGATTTTAGTTCAATTTAATTTAAAATCAAGAAATATTTAAAAATATATGTCCCAGAGTAGAATACAACAACAAATTGATTTTCGAACTTCTGCCTATGTAAGCTATATCATAGTCTGTTTGATTTTTGTTTAATGCATTTGATCTTGGAAAGTCTAAAAGATATTAAAAACATTAATCTCAGAGTAGAAAACAACACAATAAAAATCAACGAATCCTTAATTTTTTTTGCTTTACTTTTTCAACCATTCTATGGGAGCTATAAGATATAGTTGTCCGATCCGGCTAGTTATATACTACCTGCAATAGAAAGAAAACGTTTGGGAAAGTTTAATCCCGATAGCTTCAAAACTTAGGAATTTTTATTTGATTGGTTAAATTAAATTGAATCTTTTTTTGAAATAATCAATCAATTAACACCTAAGTTAATTGATTTGTAACCTCTTATTTTTAGGAGTCTTAAAAACAGATGGATACACCGAATCGGACTACGTTGCCGATATCAGAGATGCATTCAATACGTTAAAGCGCCGCTATCATAAAAGGAACCATGATTTCAGGAGGAAGATTCAACGGTTTCAAAAAAGCGAGCCAGACTGTGATTGGGAATAGCTGATGATTTTGTCACAATTTTGATATTTTTTATTTGCAAAGCTTATCTCAATGAAAGGAATACAAAGCCAAACCGGTTTTGGAACTCTTCTGTACGTTCTGTTCTTTCCACATTAATGAGGTTATTTTCGGCTTGCGTAGCACCTGAAACCGTCAGACTTTCAAACCGTAACGTTCTGGTCGAACTCCCCTTGGAAAAATATGGATCAAAGATTTCACCACTCAGTAAGGCTCATCTTAACTTTGAGATATATTATTTATTTTGTAAATTTATTTAAGCGCTCATAATTTCTTTAAATAAGTTCTTGGAGCACATGGCACCGAGAATGCATATTCGTATATATAATTACTTTTTGCTTAGCCATTTGTTTCATGACAACCAGCTTATAAGATGATAAGACATGTAAATATACTAACTGAATAAAGGAAAATGCTAATTAAACAAGGTCTAAACAAAAGTTATTTCAGGAGACACCGGTAGGACACTTTTCTAAAGATGATGTGATTTTTTAAATTAGTTAATTTCTTTAAAACACAAAATTGTATTTTATTTATAATCTGTAAAATAACTTTTATATATTCGTATTAAGGATGTACAGCAAAAGCTAATTTTATAAGAAATGTAAAGATTGGCCTATAGGTTAAAACTCTTCTGCTTAATTCGGTTTCTTAATATAGTACAGGAGTAATTAGGTAAATATATTGTTGTTGTTTAACATGGAGTTGTGTGGTTTATACATTTATCTTTATAATAGGTCATTGAAAAATTGCATGATCTTTAAGAAACATGATGCCCAAGATATTTTTTTAATGGACATTTAATCGACAGTCCCACTGAGACAAGTGATTTTAAATGAAAACGACGAGAGTCGCTGCACTTGGTGAAAAAGCCAAGTTAGCAGGGTTCAGTAAACTTGTTTCCAATTTGAAAATGGTTATGCCAGCCGGATAAAAACATTTTCCGATGGTTTAAGGCATTGCAACAACAAGTACTAGCACTCAGTTGCACAGTCGGTGTAGCGGGCCATAAATGAGAACTCAATTAGAACGTTTACATTTCTGTAAGAAACGAGTTGCTGCCGCTGCTGCTGCTGCTGCTGCTGCTGTAGTTGCTGTGGTGGTACATTATTTTTTGGCCTAAATAGTAGGCCTTGAGGAATCGGAATCGCTTGAGTTGTTTTTGTTTTACCGAGCGCCACGGGCAGCGACGCCGACAGCGACGCGGGCAGCGGCAGCGTCGGCGGAGCTAGAGTCTCGATTCCGAGAGATACCGATTCCGAATCCGAATCCGCTCAGAGTGGATTCGTCTTTTGGCCCATTCGGATGTGGCCTCCGAGCGCGCGTTGTCCACTGACAGTTTTATTATTATTATTGTTGTTATTATTATTATTATTATTTGGGGCCCAAAGCTAACTCTTGCCCTTTTGAGCTGCGCGTAATTTCGATTTCGGTTTGGTTTTCGAATCCATATCCATTCGGCATCTCGCGTTCACGTTCGCGTTGTTTCGAGTGCATCCACATCCACAACCACATCCACAGCGATTGTTGTTGTGTTCCAGTTGCCGTTTTTGTGGGAGGTTAGTTGGTTGAATAATCCGCGACTCGACTCCGCAGTGTACGCAAATTGCAAATTGCAAAAGTAATGCCCCCGCTCCATGGAATCCATTGAGAAACATAGATCCAAGAACTGCAATAATGCCCTAGTGTTTGTGTGAGAGAGCGCGCGCCAGTGCCTGTGTGTGTGTGTGTGTGTGTGTTAGAATGCACCTTGTGGTATTTTGAAATCTAAAATTGCCAAACACCCAACGCGTTTCTTTTTTTCGAGAGCATTGCAAAAGACTCCAGCTGTGCTAATGCTAAGTAAAAACGAAAAGAAAAAACTGAACGAAAAAACCGAAGAACCAAAGAACTCAAAAGCTAAAAACCGAGAAAAAGAAACTGAAAATCAGAAGCCAAGGCTGCCGCTCTTTTATTTTAGCGGGTATGTAATTACGAAACTCCTGCGAGCGCCTGGCTATTTCGGATATCTGTCGGATTGCGACAGATTTTCGTGGATTTTCCGCCATGGATTAATGGGCGCCAAGGGTACAGCCAGCTTTCCCACACGCACACACTAACGCTTTTATTGGCCAACATACAGTCAAACTTCCATAGGTGACCCCACCATCTGTCACTTTTAATAACTCTATTTATGGAGACTTTTAATGGGAATTTAAGAAATTATTCACATTTTATGCGATCCTATAACAAGATGAAGTATTTTCTAAATTTTTAGTTAATCTTCAGTAAACTTGTTTCCAATTTGAAAATGGTTTGTCACTTTTAATAACTATATTTTTGGGGACTTTTAATTCAAATTTAAGAATCTTTTTCGCATTTTATGCAATACTAGAAAAAATTTTTCTAGATTTTTAGTTAATCTTGCAAGATTTTCAGTATAAGACGTATTATTTTAATTAATTTTACAAATACTTTCAACTTCTTCAAGTTGCCTTTCATGAGATTGGTTTCTTGTTATTTCTTCACCCAATCAAAATAGCATACGATAATTCCTCCAGCCCTAAAGACACAAAAGCCATATGGAGTTACTCCGAATTCAATATCGGGGAGTTGCACTGTATTTACCTACGTCACGCCCACCTGATTTCAGTGCAATCGCGTTGGCCCAGTTTACGGGCATGCTCCAAGACAAAATACACTCCTACAAGGTCGATTGCCTATGTGTGCTGCTGTTTCTGCCTTTGCGGCTGTGGCTGGCGTTTTTCTATACCAGTTTCTAAACCTGCCGCAGCTAGTTTCAATTTCTACTGGGATTATCTGCTCCGGCTTCGGTGGCTGCGACGCCTCCGTCGCTGCTGCAGGTGGCGATGGCGATGGCTGCAGCTCTCTGGGAGCTCATTACTTGGTCCGTCCCCGTCCCTCCCCCATCCCTCATTCCCCGTTCCTCGTTCCTTCACCTCAGCCACCTCGTCTGTGTGATTGTGACACAGAAACCAACTAAGAAGTATGTGGAAATCTCTTGGCTGCATCGAAATCAAATCAGAAACTCGAGTTGGTCTCGCCAGTCGGCTCCGCGTTGAGTTTCCATTTCAGAACATATGCGCGTTTTCGCAATAGTTTCCAACCAGAAGATTGCTACCTGCCCATTCAAGAAGGGGTTTGGGCATTTTGAAACGCCAGTCACACCTGTTTCTATATTCGATATGGTTTAAATAAAGCTGAAACGGAACCCACCTAAGAACGCTTTTCCCTTAAAGATATGTTGCCCAAAGCTTAGATTTAAAAAATTATTTATTTTAAAGACTTTTATAAACAAGTTGAATATATTATTATCTCCATCTATTTGTTCTAATGATAAAAAATTATTCAGAACTAAGAGTTTGAATACAAATCTGCGATTCATAGAACTGTGCCTAAGCTTTCAACAAATTAAAAACTTCCACAAAAAGTTTCTCTTCTTTATAACTTTATGTTAAGAACTGGGTTTATAGGGCGTAGCGCATTTAGAAAGGATTTCATAAAAATTAAAGGGAAACCATATGGAACCATATGTTATGGTCATAAGAAATTAACAGAAGATCAATATAAGAAAGCAACTAAAATAGTTTTTTAAGCCAGAATTATAGGAAAACTAAGAATCCCACCGGATTATGAATTTATATTTTAGAGTGGTTGCCATTTAGAGGGTCTTTACTGTGGCACTTCCAATTCATTCCGCCTCCCTTATCGATTCCCAATTTGTCTCTTGCATTTGGGATGCCAGAATGATGCTCTGCATCCCTGGCTCATTCCCCAAAAGCAGCACACACGCACACAGTGACAGGCGGACAACCCTCTTTTGCCCCTACCCCCAACCAACCACCCACCACCCTTGCTACCCACCCACCCACACAGCCACACTGCAGTGTGCTCAATTCGGATGTGTGTGCCTGTGTGCGACTGTGTGTGCGAGTGCATCTCCCCCACAGCAACTGCAAACTGCACTGCAAACTGCAGACTGCACGAACTGTGGTGCAATAAACGACGAGCGAACGGAACGGAACGCATATTGCGTTGGCGGCGATAGCTTGGATGTTGTTGGTGCTGCTGCTGCTGCTGCTCCCTCTGCTCCCTCATCCCCCGCCATCCCCCATCCCCTCCCTTCCCCCCCTCGATGATGACAGCCGAGGTCGTAGGCAAAGACGACGGCATACGCTCGAGTAACTGGCCCACCACTACAAGCAGCCAAACCTGTTGACCTAATTTCAAATTCTGCTGTGTCTTGTTGTTGCTGCTGCGGCTGATCTGTGTCTCTGTGCCATCGGTTGTGTGTTTGTGTGTGTGCGAGTGAGTGGCGGCTCTCTGGGCATCGGTGTATTGGTGGATTGTGCCGGAGAGCCAAACGATTGGCAAATCTTCGCCAGTGGTGTTTGGCGCCAAGGGGGATCCACATCCACATCCACTCTTCATGGGAGAATAACCCAACGAAAAAAGAAGGCCTTCAAAATCAAGCATTCCCCAAAACGTAGATCTTCAAACAGCAGTTGACTGGTTTATGCTTTGGGAAAATATATGTGTATGCAGTTATTAAAACCAAATCTGAAATTAAGTGTTTTACGCTCACCAAAGATGGAAAATTTCTACAGATTTTTGTAATTCTACAAAAATGCTTAGGGAAGATCACGTTCGGTGATTCGAATTTTCCATCTTACGGATGAAGTGGCCGTTAGACTTTATGGCTTGCGTAAACTTTAAACTTTAAAGAAAAGTTTATTACGACTAAGGAAAGAACATTTCGAATTCTTAAAAGTTCCCTACCAGTTAATAATTTTTGTCCAACAAAGTGAACTTTTATGCATCCTTTTACTTCCATTTTTAAAACCTTAATAACTGAGTATGGTAAATGTGTGTATTTCAAAACAGTAAATAAATTGCAATTTAAATCGATATATTTTTTATTTTCTTTAGACAATATTTTATTTGTTTTTATTCTAATAAAATGTTAAATTTTTTTATAAAAAATAAAGAATATTAATTTTAGGGCTAAATTAAACTGCATTGAAAGGCAATAGTTCATATGGGTTAATTTAAAGATAACTTTTGTATAACTTTTATAAAAGTTTGTTTAAACACACATTAGCTTTATATGATTGGATAATAACTTCTCTCAGTGCAGAAATAAATGTAGGTAATAACTATCGGATCCCCCACCCCTTTGAACTCTGACTCACCTGAAGTGGTGCCCCCCTTTGGACGCCAGCCCTGGCATTTCCGTCCCAAACAAAACGGAGACAGACACAGAATACGTACACAGATACAGATGCAGTTGGTGGGACTTCCACATCCAATTCCATTCCCACCAGCAATTGCAGTTTGGATTCAGTTCGTGTCAGTTTAATTCGGTATTTCGAAATTTCGGAATCGGGAATTTATTGGCAGATTTTCTAATTTGGTGCATTTGCTAAAAGAACGCATAGTAGTGTGAGTTTTGAGGGGGCGTATCCCACCTTATTTATATTTTGTATTTGTTTTTGCGTCCCAGTAACCACAAGAAATTACGGTCGCTGCCACAAGCTGCTGCCTCTGCCGGCGTCGCTGCCGGCGTCGCCGCCTGCTCCACTTGTCGCAGTGACGAAACGTTCGTGCCCAGTGTGTTTGTGTGTGTTTCCCAGTGTTTGTGTGCAGAGAAAATCAAGTGAATCAAAATGAGCGTATAATTAGGTCAACACACAACAAAAATTATACGCTAGCCACTTACCAAAGAGAGCAGAGCGGCAGGCGGACTCTCTCTCTGGGAATCGGAAGTGGGGCAGAGCATGGTTGTTGGTCCCATCAATTAGAAATTAATTCACGCGCCTAATGCTACAAAATTGCAACTGCAGCGAGAGCAAAAAGCATGCACCTGCAACAACCACAACAACCAGGGAGAGCGGTGCGGGTGTGAGAAAAGCATAAACAAAAACGGGACATGCGCTGCACTTGCCGAACGAGAGAGAGTGGGAGAAAGAGCGTGGGAGCCGAGATGGGGAGAGCGGTTGTATACAGAGAGATGCAACATTCGCTCAGCTGGCTTTTGGCTGCCACATGGAAAGAAAAGCAGATAATCAATTTAAAATAACAAGTGTTTTAAATAGATTGATGTTAAAATTAAAAAAAAACTCATTTTGACGGTCTAAAAACTAAAAAAATAATTTGATACAAGCTTTTGTAACCAGATAAAATTCCCAATGAAAATAAAACCTCTTAAGACAATTTGAAAATTAAATCTTAAATTTACATTCCAGGAAATTCATATGTACTTTAGGGCGGTCCAAAAAATGAAATTCTTTTCTCACCCCTTAACATGGTATATTAAATTATTCAAAAAATGTATGTGAAAACAAAACAATTTTTTTCGAGATTTAGACCTTGCGAAACGTCTTCAAAGTTTGCTTTAAAAAAACTCATACGACATGTATAACAGTTCGAATTTGGTCGAAAAAAATCGGTACAATCGTACATTGTACTTGCTTAGATAACATTGTGTCTGGCACATAAAATTAAAATTTCACCTTTGCGCCATTAAAGTTCTCCCGGCTTTTTTTCAGTGTGGAAGAGAGCGGCTGTACACAGAGAGCTCCAAAGTTCGCTCAGCTGCTTTCGGCTCCCACTGAACTATTTTTTTCCCCACTTTTTTGCGCCCGTTTCTTGATTTTCTTGCGTTGTTGTTGCTGCTGCTGCCCGTTGCTTGTTGGCCGTGGCAAGTGTTTCGCAATGAGTGCAGGCCAGGCCAAAACCGAAATGAAATCATCGCCGTGCGCTCTCTGGCATTGATAGAGGGGGGAAATTCCTGTTCCACTTTCTATTATGGGAGTCGGGTCGTCGCTTGTTGTTGTTGCTGCTGCAGCAGCAACCAAAGCAGCGGCAAAAGTAGCAAAACAGCACGTAGCATAAAAGTGTGTCACCATGGGAAAGTGGTTTTCTCTCTCCCGCTTCTCTCTTTTTCGCTCTGTTCTTGTTCTCATTTCGACGCACATGTTACCCGTTTGTTGTTGCTGTTGCTGTTGTCGTTGTTATTTTCTTTTTGGGAATGCTTCATTGATTTGCCAAAGGAGGGAACAAAAACAAGAGCAACTCCATCGACCGACTGACTCATTTTGTTGCGTGACGAAAGGCGATCTCCCCGCCCTTCCCACGCTGGAAAACCGGTAAAAGGAAAAAAAACGCTGCTAAGGTCAAATCTGTTATATGGTCTATTTTGCATGAAGATCCAGCCTTCGAAAGTCAATCGCCTTCAAAAAGATGCGTCCGTCTTCGTTTTCAACTCCACTTCCACCTCGCTTCCAAATCCAAATCCAATTCCGACTCCCATTCCGTTTTTGATCCACAACTTCCAGCAACAACAGCAACTCGAATTCCCCACTGGTCAATGCAATGCTAATAAACTAGCTTTTGATTTAAATTTGAATGGGAATCGTGCGCCGCGGCCTAAGGCTATGCAAAAGATTCATTTGGCCTACAAGCCAACGCACAGTGGCTTTAAGTCAGCGATATGGAATTTGGAACTTACCTAAATTAAATTAATATTTTCTTAAATGATTTTCCAGTTTCATTTGAATTTCTTATTAAAATAAAATAATATTTATTTTCAATTTATAAATATTTAAAAAACCAATAGTAGTAACGCATTCCAATTTCCTTGAAAAAGGATGCTTAACAAAATGTATAGCATACATTTTGAGTGCACTTTAAAATGCTGACAACAACCCAATCGCCCAACCCTGAGGATATACAACACTATCCACAATGTAAGGTCCTGTGGCTTAAAGTTTTCAAATAAATCGATAAAATGTAAAATCTCAAAACTGGGTTACTATAAAAAATTACTCATACGCAACGTAAATATTACTTATACGCAGTGTTGGAATTTCGAATCATTTTGACTTACTTAAAATATGTAAATGCAACAAAACCAATTATTTCTGTATAAAATTAAACAAAATTCTATTTATTTAATTTCATCAAAAAATTTTACAAACATATAACATTTGACATTAAACAAAAGTTGAATGAAAACATAAACAAGAAAAGGGACATCTAATACCTCACACAAAGAGGACGTGTGGGTTGGTGTCCCGACTAATAATAAAGCTAAAGGGAGTGGAGGAGAGAATAAATTTGATTGCGTATAACTTTTAATGAATGGTCCGATTTGAAAATGTCTTCACATGAAGGTATAAATACACACAACAAAATTCATTTATACTTCGGAAATCTTAAAGATGGGCGCAGGACCCATTTAAAATCGTTAGGGGCGATTGGGGCGTAGAGGGCGTGGCGCTGGCTAAAAAAACCGCGCGTAGGAATAAAGAATATGTGTGGAAATCTCAACCTCAGCTTTAGTTCTGAGATCTCAGCGTCAACAGACGGACAGACAACAGAAAAGACAAAGAAACAAAGAAGAAGAAGAAGACAGACAGAACCAACGGAAGACGGACAGAGGAAGGCTAGATCGACCGCAGTGACGATCAAGAATATATATACTTTATGAGGTCGGAAACGCTTCCAGCTGTTACATACTTCACGAATCAGTATACCCTTTACTCACGAGTAACGGGTATAATATATATTCAGTTGAAAGTAAAGAAAAAAAATCATTGGCATTTTTTTAATAAATTTTTGAAATGTGTATCAGGTTTCTTAGAATTTTGCAAATTACCTTTTTTAACTAAGAAATACCAGAATAAATTCCATACGTATAAACAACTTAGCAGCTAAAATATTTTGGCAACTTGAAAGAACGTCATGGTTTTATACGATCTTTCGGCGGCACACGTTTTAGACCACCCTAACCCGAACAAAAATCCGCCCACGTGGGCGCACCTTTATGGCCGACCGGTGGACAGTGTGCGACATCATTAAGGGCTCTCAGGGCGCTCCAATTATGTCGCTCACTTGTGTGTGTGCTCCCATTTCGCATTTCTCCTACCATTTCTCATTTCCAGAGCGGCTCAAAGCCCAAGCGACGCTTTATATTTTCTTTTGCTTTCGGCTTTCGGGGCTTCGAATTGGGAACAGCACGGTGGGCAAGTGAAAATGCGGGACACCCCAAAGACCAAAGACCCGAATCCCCAGGTTGGGTCGTATGTTAGCCATCGCTTGGCCAGAGATTATGATGATGATGATGGCGAGGTGGTGGCGATAATGATAATAATGATAAAGCCTGACCCAGTTGCACTCTAAAACTTGACCCAATGACTCCATTGGGTTGGCAACTATGGCATTTATAATGCCAAAGCCAACAGCGCCTCATAATTACTGAAAATGCAAACCGACTTTTGTGCGTTTTTCAGCGTTTTGAGTTTTGGTTTTTGTTTTTGGTTTTGTTGTTTTGCGCTCGGTGCGAGCTAATGCTTACAAGTTTACAACATTTAAGTGGCCTGGCCCGAAAAAGAAGTTTCGTGGCGAAAAACCCGTTCGCCAGCGCGGTGGTGGAGCATCGAAAAAGTGAATTTGTAATTATGTAGATGCCTCGAAAATGGGCCTACGACACACATTTCATTTTTCAGAGTGCTGACCCGGCCAGAAATGCACAACCAACCACTCGCATATATCTCTTTGGCCGCATGTGGGCATAGGGAAGCTGGTCGGGGCTGAGGTCGAACCCCATGGCTCTTGGCTTTTGTGATCTGGCTAATGCTAATGCACAAGCATTCAAGGTTGAATTAAATTAGCTGCGAGAAGAGCTTGGCCAGCTCTGTCGAATGATTATGGATGATGATTTATACGCTGCCCGATATACATACACTCACTCGGACGCCCCACACATCCGCACATCCGCACCTGTGCATATGTGGCGGTACCTACAACTGTCTATGGGTATCCACATTTGACCTATTGCCAAAACCCGGGCCAGACGACGGGTGACATGCGTCACTAAGCCAAAGTTGCACAATGGGCCGAAACTCGAAACTTTAATTATAAACACTTTTTTTGGAAAGTACCTTGGAGTTTCGATGAAGCCTAATTTATAAAAAAGATGTTTTTCTGGGTCGGTATAATTAGGATGGTTAAAAAATTGTCTTATGCTAACATTTTTTTAAAGTCTTCTTCGAAATGCTCTTTTATATGAACCCATAATTTCATTTTAATTTCTTTAACAGCAGATTAAGAATACCATTTATTTAGGTTATATTTGATCTAACGTTTTTGTTTGAAACAAGAATATCTTCTTTAAGTTTGGCCTAAGCAACGCCAAAATTTTGTGCCAAATGCCATTTAGTTGCCATTGTGTTTGCCGCAAACTTTTGAATGATTTGCTTGGTTTTTGTTGGTGCGGTTGGTCCCCATCTCTGGTTCGGGGCAGCGATTTCTGTGTGTGTGTGTGTTTGGGTGTCCAAATGATTGCCCACCTGCAAGACCAGTAATTGGCCCCAATAACTTTGGTATTTTCATAGCACGAAGTCAACGTCAACGCCGGCAAACAACTACAGCAACAAGGCCGCCCAAAAATGGTCGGTGTCGATGTGGTTGTTGGCGGTTTGGTTCTTGGCGAATTCTCCGCAGGTTCCCCTTACCCCTAACCGCTCCCCCACGGCCCCCATGGCCCCCTCATCCCACGAAGCTGCGACGCTGACACCAATTTGGCTTATTAGAGTCGAAGTCTGAGTTTGGGCTTGGGTCTCTGGGTTGGAAGCACTTGAAATGCCAAAAACTGACTGCAAAATAAAGCAACAAAAATAGCAACCACAGCTTGTCATCGATTTTCGGGCGTGGTCTGGACTAATCTGATTCGCACTGAGCGAAAAAAGGGGTGTTAATATCCTTCAATAGTAATTAATTCAAATACTTACAATTCCTAAAATGTGTCTATAAATAATAATAATTTTCGACCAAAATAAATTTAATTTCTATATTCATATATTCATATTCTTTGAGTGAGATCTAAAACCATTATCGTTCTTCATTTCCAGATGGCCGAAACGATCAGTACGGCAGCCAGCGGCATGGAGTTGGCCCTAAAGGACCCCAGTCCGACGGTGGGTGGTGGCATCATTGTGGACATGACGCCCACCACGGCGGCCCTGCTGCATCACAATGCGATGGCGCTGCGCAGCCTCAAGGAAGCCGCCTCATCCGCCTCCGAATCGGAGCTCCAGGAGCCGCGATCGCCGACGCCCACGCCCACGAATCTCAGCACCGGCCCCCACTCGCCGCCCATGACTTTCCGCTGCGAGCGCTGCGACAGCTTCGAGACCAGCTCGCGGGCATCCCTGCTGCTCCATGTGGTCCAGTGCCTGGCGGGTCAGGCGGCGGCGGCGGCAGCAGCGGCGGCCGCATCGGCGCGGCTGAAGAGCGAGGATCTGCAGGAGCCGGAGAACATGAGCCTGGGTCACATGGAGGGCGGCGGCAAGGAGACGGGCAACAATTCCAGCTCCTCGGCCAGCTCCTCGCCGGCGGGAAATAGCGGCGGCGGAGGAGGAGGAGGCGGTGGCGGCGGCAATAGCAGTTCCCGCAAGGTCTTCGAGTGCGATGTGTGCAACATGAAGTTCTCCAACGGCGCCAACATGCGACGCCACAAGATGCGGCACACCGGGGTCAAGCCGTACGAGTGCCGGGTGTGCCAGAAGCGGTTCTTCCGCAAGGATCACCTGGCGGAGCACTTCACCACGCACACCAAGACGCTGCCCTATCACTGTCCCATCTGCAATCGCGGCTTCCAGCGGCAGATAGCGATGCGTGCCCACTTCCAGAACGAGCATGTGGGCCAGCATGATCTGGTGAAGACGTGCCCGCTCTGCAGCTACCGAGCGGGATCGATGAAATCGCTGAGGATTCACTTCTTCAACCGGCACGGCATCGATCTGGATAACCCCGGCCCGGGTGGCACCTCCTCGCTGCTTTTGGCCCTCGAATCGCAGGCTTCGGCGGCGGCAGCAGCAGCGGCAGCTAGTTACGTGCCACCTGGACTCAGTCCCGTGCCCGTGCAATCTCAGTCCCAGCAGCAACAGCAGCAGCAGCAGCAACAGGTGGCTCCGCCGGCCAGCGACAGCGGGGAGTCCATGCGATCCCTGGAGAATGCCACGCCCCCGATGCACTTCCTCACGCCCCACGTGGAGATCTCGACGCTGGGCGAGAGCGGCAATACGGAGTTGTTTAATGTAAGTCTAGCGCTGCTTGGCAAGCTATCCCTTTTCCAAAACAATCCCCTCGCTTACAAACGATAAACTAGCTGATTTGCGTTTGGCGTGAATCTGCATTACAGGGCAACAACAACAACAATAACAATAACTGCGCTACCAACAACAACAATAACAACATTAGCGGGAGCAACAACAGCAACTGCAACTCCATTAGCAATGGAAATGCCGAGTCCAATGGCGATAAGGTGAAAGATCGAGCCCTCATCATGCAATCGCCAGTGGAGCTGCCCATGGATTGCAACACAAAGGCCACGCCCATCACATCCAGCACCACAGCGAGCAGCCTGAGTGGCGGCCTCAAGAGCCACCACCAGCATCCGCACCACCACCACCACCATCACCACCACGAGAACCACATAACGCCGTCGATCAGTCTGATACCCATCAAACAGGTGAGTTTGACGAGCTGCAAGATCGGGGCGATAAATAAAGATCAACGCTTGGCATTTGACTGGGCGGATATCTATGAGGATTATCAGAGGTGCCATGTGTAGATACATCTTAATGTTAATTTATGGTAACTGTCAGAACTTAGATAACTATCGTAGGTATTTGGGAACTAAATTGGTTACTCAAGTTAGTTGAAGTTTAAAAACAGAAAAACAAAAACCATCTAAAAAATAGGCATACATTATTTTTGTGATTTCTTTAAGATCAGACAATTTTAATTTCTAATTAAAATGGTTAAAGAAACAGTTTAGAGCTACAACATATACAAGATATGGAAGTTCGAGCTGCGAACGATCGACTCTATACTTCATCTGCATGCGAAGGCGGAACAATATTTTCGAAAACCTGTTGTGCATCACAAAAGACTGCATACCTAATTTGGCTGAACTAGCTTTTATGGCTTTCCGAGATCCAGGGCTTATATATTGGTGTTTGATTCAGCGTTTGATCTTGACCTGTAAAATGAAATTTTGCGACCAACTTTTTTAAATTTCAAATGCCTTGAATAAATACCTATTAGCTATTTCATTTTGTTATAGAAATAATGTTAAAATAAAATAAAATACGACTTCTTTATTTTAAAAGGGATAAAGAAAATATATTTAAACTCCATTAATTTAGTAAATACAACTTTCGGCTCTCTGTATTTATGAAATTATTATAACCAAATTTTGTTTTACAATGACCAAAAGGAGCCCATGGCGGAGGATATGGACAAGAAGGACCTGATGAACGGCAGTGATCCCAGCAGCGACACAGAACAGGCTTCCAACAATAATAACAACAACAGCAGTAGCAACAACAACAACAACAGAATCACCTCACTGATCAAGGTAGGAACCATTATTACATCTTCAAAACCATTATTAATTCAACCGATTCTAACCAGGTCTCGCCACTGAAATCACTCCTGCGCGAGGATCTCAAGCGACGAATCTGCGCAAAGGCCAACAACCGGATCACCCGGAATGCCACACCGCTGGAGAGCAATAACAACAACAACTCCGTGCTGTCCAACAGCCTGAGCAACGGATCGGGTCGAGGATCGCCGGGGCTCAATGGCGGCAGCGGTGGCAGCGGAGGTGGCGGCGGTCCCCCGGCTCCGGCGACACCCAATGCCTCGAACGGCGCCAGCTCGACGCCCATCTGCAACGGAACGATCACGTCGACCGGCCAGGATGGAGACCTGCTGCTCAACCGCAAGCTAATCCTCACCTGCCACTTCTGCGGCATCGAGTTCCCCGACGAGACGCTCTACTTCCTGCACAAGGGCTGCCACTGCGAGAGCAATCCGTGGCGGTGCAACATATGCGGCGAGCAGCTGAACAACGTATACGAGTTCAACTCGCACCTGCTCAGCAAGAGCCACCAATAGCAGCCACAGTTGGCCGGCAAGTAGACCTGGTAGGCCTGGTAGGAACCAGGAGCAGGACCAAGAGCTTGCCGGCTCGGGATCTGGATGGTCCCCCTCTCGAATCAATGCAGATTCAGAATATTTACTTAGCTCAATTTTGAGAGATTTTCCACAACCAGGCACACAGTTAAGCTCAGAGCAAATTATACACTTACCATCTAGTTCTACGTTTACACTTACGTCTACGTTACATATATATAGTTAGTTAGAGATAACTCATCATATTTTTATGATCTGCATGCAGAGAGTATGAAAATCAAATGAGAGCTACGTAGTTACCTAATCCCTTAAAGAGTCGAGGAGTCGAACAG